GAGAGAGAGAGAGAAAGAGAACGAGAGGACTTTCGGCGAAAGGGGGGCGAAGTAAAATAGGAGGGAGGTTCGGGAAATGTGCAACAGCAAGGACCCGCCAAGGTGGTGGCGAGACTATCGAGTGAAACAGGACCCGTTTCGGGCCCGCAGTCACATTTTATCAGCGTCGCGACGCGTTGCTGCCGACGAAGTCGAAGAGGAGGACGTGGAAGGTAAAGAAGAAGAAAAAGAGGGAGAGAAAATCCCCTCGGGACGGTAGCTTCGAGACGGAGATCTGAAAGACTTCGAGAATCTTTTCGGGATCCTCTTCAGGATGTTGGGAGTGGGAAAGCACGTGGTTCTTCGTGGTCTTCTGCCACTAGTGATACTCGCGACCTTGAGCAAAGCGCAGTTCCGGTGTCCAGAACCTAAGGGTTTCTTCCCCGATCTGGACCAGTGCGATCTTTACTACTCCTGCGTGGACGGCCAGCCCGAGGAGAAACTCTGCAAGGACGGACTCGTCTTCAGGGATGATAATCCCAAAAAAGAGCTCTGCGATATACCGGCAAATGTACCCTGCGGCGATCGCACGCTTTTGCGTAAGTTAAATTTTTCTAATTCCTCTTTATCTTTTTTTAATTATTAATTATTACATTTTATTTATATTATTATGATATTATGACATATTATCACAAATTAAAAAAGAATTTTAATCCTTTTTAGATAAAAAATTAAATAAATTTTTTACAATTTATTTTATAACAATCAAATATTTTTATTAAACAATATAAAAATATTTAATATTTAAAGAAAAAAATACTTAATTTTATTTGTAATGTTACATTTAGTTTTATAGGTCATTTTGGGATAGAGACTTTCGTTCAACATGGGAATTTTTTCAATAATATTTGATCAAAGGAAGTAAGCTTTATAGTTATGTATAAAATTTCATTTGTGCTTCTATATGTGTATGTTTCGCAAACTCGATATACCAGAAGAATAGCCGATTGGACAGTCGCAAAAATAGAACTTGATATGAACCGGTTTTTAGACGAATGAAATCAACCTCTTTCTTGGATTTGGTCTTTTCCACGTTTCTTTATAAATAGTTATAGTCATTTAGTCATAATAGAATAAAGAAATGTTAAATAATAAAGTTAAATTTTTGAAGCAAAAATTATTTAAGAAAATTTTTTAAATAAAAATAAGAATAGAATAAATAAATTTAATAAAATAGAATAAATTTAATAAAACTATAATCAAATTTGAATTAAAATATTTTCTTGTTTTTTCTTATATATTTAATATTTATAAATATAGAAAAATTCATATTTATATTAATAAACATTTTTCTGTTATATATTAATTGTTATCATGTATAGGCTGACCAGACATATTTTTCTGAAGAGCCATGTATTCTTTTTGAATCAGAAAAAAGTATAGATACTTTTAATCTTTTTTTCTTATGAAAACGTACTCTCTATACTCTTTCTCTATCCTTGCACGCAATACAATTCGTGCAAATTTGAATGTAATAAGATCACGGATTAACATTAAGCGATCTGATTACCGTAATTGCATCGTGTTACGTAATAATATTTACATAAAATAAAATATTATCATAATAATATATTACATAATGACAGAGGAGCCGCAACCTAGCAAGGGCTGTCCTCGCGCGAACGGCATCTTCAGCCACGAGGACCCGAACGCATGCGATCGTTTCGTCAATTGCATCGATGGAGTGGTACAGGTGGTGCCTTGCCCACCCGGACTGATCTACGAGCCCAAGATGTCGAGCTGCGTCTGGCCGGCAGACGCCACTCGCCTGTGTGAAAACCTGAAACGCGACGTCCTGGATGACGGTTTTGTATGCCCGGACGGCGACGTCGCCGGGCCATCCGGCAGGATTCTGCCGCATCCTACATACCCGCATCCCGAGGATTGCGCTAAATTCTACATCTGCAAGAATGGTGTAGTGCCACAGAAGGGCCAGTGCGAACCCGGTACCGTGTACGACGAGGATACCTTCAAGTGCACTGAACCGGAATACGTGCAAGGATGGTGAGGATCTTTTTCCATTTTATCTTCTCACGTAAAGGAGGAACGTTCCCTTCTTTCGAATATCTATCTATTTATCATATATAATAAACAGTAATTGTTTGGCTTTTCTAAACTTTCTGATAAATTTATAAGATCGATTTCTTAATTATTCTTACAACTCAAGAATTCCACTTGTTAACTGTTTTTCCTTTCTCTGATTTTATAATTGAATTTGTTTAATACTTCGTAATAGCGGACTGCTTTTTATGATAAAATGCAATGTTTCAGCGAGGACTACTACAAGCGTAAGAATTGAGTTGGAGAACCGAGGGTTAAAGTTAACCGCAGCTACGTGTGTAATACTCATCTTTTTACTCATAGGAACAATAAATGCGTGTAATATGCACGCTTACATAAAAGCCGCCACGTGATCTTTACGAGAGCGATCGTGCTTTCGTCCTCCCCCCGCGATGATTACTACCCCTTTCTCCTTTTACGTAAATGAATTTGCCTTCGGAAAATCCATAACGAAACCGCCGCCGGTCGCGGATCATTAATCCGCCAAAAGAAAACTTCGCTGACCGACGATATCAATTTCTATATAACATACGTTAGATAAACTCTGCGCTCCGAACCGGTCCGATTTTATATAATTATTGATTATGTTAAAATTTTATTGTAGAAGCGTATATGCGCAAATAGTTGCTCGCAATTCCGCGATTAAGTAACAGTAAAACAGATAATTAAATTTATTTATTATATTCTAATGAGAAAATAAATTTCTCTGAACGTTGTTTTAGATAACATCATTTTTAGCTAATGGTGTAATAATTACACTGTTACATTTCGATATTATCTCGATTAATTATGTATCTCGGAAGTTTATACAAATTTTTTGAGTTTGATATTAATTTCGTCATAATCAGAATTTTATTTCTTAATTGAATATCTTTTAATTATCTTTTTAACATAATCTAATTAATAAACTAATATTAATAAACTATTAATAAACTAATAAATCTAATTAAGATTTTAATATAATATTTTTATTATCTTAAAAGTTGATATTTACTTTCTTCTTACTAATTAGGTATATGTAATTGTATGTATTAATAAGAAAACTTAAATTCTTTTAATTCCTAAAGATAAAAATAATATAAATATCACAATGTTTATATTAAAATACCTAATAAAAAATTTTTTCTTAGAATTTGTTAAAATATTTTACAAATAATGATGCAAATTTTATCACATATGATAAATATATAAGATAAAAAAATATAAAATAATAATATAATCAAACATATGTATAAACATTTTAAAACAATTATATTATTTTCCTTAAATCCGAAAAAATATTTTTGAAGAAAATAATATAATTATTCAATTCACACAAAGAGTGCTTAAAAGTTTTAAAATTGTAATATTAATGAAATATGTATTATTAGATTAAAAAGATTATCATTAGTATATAAAACACATTTTTCTAATCTGTTTAAGTTTAAAGTTAGGAAAAGAAAAATATTTCAAGTAATATTCCAGAAACTTAAGAAAATTAAATAAAATATAATAATTGCGTCAAGTTCTTATTAATGCAATCAAACATATTTTGTATTACAAGTATTCATGTCATATAATTTAAATTGTTAATATTTATTATATGTTATGATGAATATAACTTTCTCTGATGTGCGAGATCGCACGTCGAAAATCTCTTCGTTCCACGATGCTCCAGAATACATCGCGAAATCGCATCTTCAAACGCATCCTGGATTTCACTCTAACATCAAGCTGAAGCCAAATGTCAGCGTGAGAATTAATTAAATCGTTCATCATAAGATTATCTTGCAACATCTAACGTTACAAATGTTACACCTTCACATTTATTTTTGTTGAAAAATTTTTGATTTTCAATAGAGAGATCAATTAAACAAATTAAAAAATAATTATTAAAATAATGCAATATTAATGCAATATTTTTCATATGTTATTACATTTACTTTCACATAACTTTCATTAAACTTGCTAATTTCTAATATTTTATACTTTTGCATACCAGAAGATTATAAGATCAACTACTTGGTAATTCGGCGCGATTTACGGTACACAATGAACAGCGTGCCACGGTTTTCCGAGCTAGCAATTTCTCTTCAATTGCCTGATAGCAACCTTTCTCTTTACGTAATTCTCAAAGTGCCCGATGAAAAATATCACAATTTGCATTTTGTTCGCAGCGCGATAAATCTCAAAATAAATTTCAAGCTATTTTCTTTTATTCCTAACACCTTTTTTATGAAATAAAATAACGAAAAGCTAAAACTAACATAAATAAAATAATGAATAATTATCTTTTCTAAAACAATAAAATATATAGAAATTTTTTTTTCGT